CAATGTTCTTTAGAGTTATTATCAAAGTGGTTTGGAAATACTCCCTCTGTTCCAAATTGTAAGACGTTCTGGCTTTTCTACATACATATCTTTTGCTATGCGCCTAGATATACATTATATCTAGATACATAGTAAAAGCTATGTATCTAGAAAAGCCAGAATGTCTTACAATTTGGAACAGAGGGAGTAATTATGATGCTCACTGGAATATGTCTCCCACCATTTCAATCAAAATGTTACTGGTTGCCACCTGTTAGACAAGAACTATATACCAGCATAAGAATTTTTGTGGAGCTCATCAAGCATGCCATGGACTGGTTGCAAAACATCGTTATCATGCTGTTCAAGTGTACTCTTTACTGAAGCAGTAATGCTACACGAAAAGACAATTTGAATCCTCACATCTTCAATTGCAGTTCTGCATTGATTTTAAAACGCTTGGTGTACATCCAGAACATTTTGGGACTATCCATAATTATGTTTTTCCTGTTTTTTCAGATGCAAGTTGATGCTACACCCAGTCACACACTGAATCTGGCCCACAACACACCAAACTTTAGCACTGGGGATTTCCCTGCACTTCCAACAGTCGAGGACCAAAATGGTTTCAATAAGGGTAATGTGGATGTACTTAGCATGTTCAATGGGCGCGGTTCATCTGCGATGCCTACTGGAGCTGGTGATTTTGTTTCAGCTGTTCGCAAACTTGCGTCACAGAATTCTGGCCAGTGGAAGTTTAAAAAGGGTCCTGAATATGGTAATGGTGTTTCAGCTCTTTCTGTACCCAAACAGTACAGTTCTAACACTAAACAATCATCTGGGAACAAGTTTCAAAGCATCAGCAGTGCAAGAGTTGCCCCATGGCTTGAGACTGGCGATGCAGTGGGTAATACTCATCTGATACTCTCTGAAGTCTTTCTGGTCCATATTGCACAGTTCCCTCCTTTATGTTTCATGTTTGGATGAGGATTGCTCTTGCTTGTTTTCTTCATTTAGTGAAATATCGGGAATTGCAAGAAATCAGGGAGAATTATGCTACCTTTTGAGTTCCTTTAGTATGTTCCAATTATGCTCTGATTAATTTATCTCTGTATATGCAATCCACCAGCAAGTATGTACTCAGAATCAAGGGGAGAAGCTCGTGATTTTGCTAGGGTCCGAAATGCATGCTTTGAGCAGGTAAACACTATTGCATATGGATACTGAAGCCTACACTTGCAATTTCTTTTGCCTGTTTTAGTAAGGTTCATTTTTTCATGAATAGAGTTCACTATCTGTAACATACTGTTTTTAAGTTTGGTATCTTACGAGTTGCTAAGGTATTCACATAAGGATACACCTGACAGGCTAGACAGGCTTACTTGGTTGGCAACAAGGCTCTTGCGAAGGAACTCAGCATGAAGGGGCAGGCATACAATGTGCAAATGAAAGCAGCTCATGAGAAAGCTAGAGAAGCTATTTACCGACAAAGGTCTGATAGCTGTTTTACATGTTGACCTTTGGTTGTTCCAGCTTATGTAATATTGAAGTCTAATTTAGTTTCATACTTATCGATTTCTGATGTGCAGGAATCCTGTTTCTTCCCAACGTGGGGGTGACCGCCTGATTGATTTACATGGCTTGCATGTGAACGAAGCAATCCACATCCTGAAGGGTGAGCTCACTGCCTTGAAGAGCGTGGTGAGGGCAGCAGGGGAGAGGATGCAAGTCATGGTTTGCGTTGGAACAGGTCACCACACCAAGGGCTCTCGCACTGCGAGGTTGCCTATTGCTGTGGAGCAGTTCCTCCTGGATGAAGGCCTCCAGTACACGCAGCCTCAGGCGGGTTTGCTCCGAGTGATGGTGTACTAACATCTCTTAGGTAAGACATCATGGAGAGAAAAAGGACAACCCAAAAAAAAGAGAAGAGAGATGAAAACACATAAAAAAAGCGTCGTTGGAGCACGCACTGTAATTCCTTGTAGCTGTATATTAAAAGAGGCAGCAGGAGAATAGCCTGACAACAGAATACAGTGTAAAATTATACATAGCTTCATTTAATTCACATTCCTTTTCCATCCATCCGGTGCTGTGCAAGGTAAGTGGCTTGACATTTGTTTGTTGCTGAACACTAAGATGCATTTGGGGCCATTTGTTGCTACTGAACTCTACAGCTGCTGCATCTTCATTCCTTTTTGGATCGTATGGACCTGTTTGGGCTTCACTCCACCCAAACTATGTTCCAAATACACTATGGAGTAGCTCTAAAAAATCTGGAGTTTCTGGATTACCCCTTTAGGTGCTCAACAAAACACCTGGATTTGACCCTTAGCTCTGCCTTTTCTTTTGAAGCAAAGCTTGTGGAGCTGTCCCTGTTTGGCTAGCAAAGATGGCAGCGGAGCTCATGAATGGAGCAGTCCCAAACAAGCCTTATATTGTTCATGTCTTGATCCTTAACATTCCTAGGACCTACGTAAACTGGTCTAATACACTTTGAAACAGGTCTAATACACTTTGAAACACACATGTTTGATCTAGTTGTTTGGTTTGTCATCTCTCTCATCGAAACATTGACATTCACGTCAATTGTGGTAGCCATCAAAAGTGTGGCGGAAAAAATGAAACCATATTTGTGGCAAAGTTTGATTAAAAAATGAGTCTACGATGTGTGAGATAATGTGCTAAGAAAATGTGACGTGCTATAGTTATAGTGAACCAAACAAACGCCTAAAAAACCATGTCACGCCTGACTGCGGCTTGAACAATATGGCAGTTCGATGGTTTTATTCGTTGACAGTATTAGTCTATATTAATGCAGTTTGTTCATGTTTGATTGTCTGCATATTATGTTGGTTTGTACAATGCTTAAAGCGGATCTAGTACTGTATTAGCTAGTACGCTAAATTAGGTCATGTTACACGATGCAAGTATAAACAAACCAATGTGCTACAAGATAAAAAATCCTCTCCCTCGTATCTTTTACTAGAAACATGAGAACTCAACTAGAATATAGAAGTGACTACATATTCTAGTATTGACATAAAAAAGGGTTATTGCCTCTGATATGACAATACTGGTGGAAGCACAAACATTATTGTTAATTAATGGAGTTGAAGCTTGGTTGTAGTATCGGCATTGTTTCTAATCTAAGAATTAAGTACACATAGCTGCTATTACTACTACTACTATCCGCTTTATCATTCTACAAAACTAGCCCAAATGGTTCGTTGGACCAGGCAGGCCTATTGCTGCCAATGTGCCTAGTTGTACAGTTGGGCTTACGTGTTAACATCGTGAGTTAGTGCACATATTTAGGATTGCGTGGTGCATACTACGAGGTGAAGATGAGCTAGCAATCACTGAAATTATGTTTTGACCCTAGTCCCTGGTGCCAATGTACTCGTGTGACACAACGTGCAGGGGTGGAGCCAGGATTTGACCGCGGGGGGGGGACGTTACCAACGATAACCACATATGATGAAATAGACTCGCGCATGCACACATATGTATATTGAGTTGTCAAGAGTGTATATAATAACATAATCAACGTTTGTTTTGTGATAAAAAAGAAAGTTAAAATTCTAAAATGGTACTAAAAATTATAGGGAAAGGAGATTTTTTCCCCTTAAGTTTCTAATCTACATCCGATTAATCTATTTCATAGGTAAAAACCACTGTAATAACAAGAACAAAAATGAGGGAAGATAAAGAAAAGCAATCTTAAAGCATATAGATGACATTAGAGATTAATAGGGAGGGAGAAATAACAAGAAAACACTAATTAACATTATAACTAGCTACTTGGATGTGCATTGTGTGGACCAACTAGAATGTTGTGTAGGAAAAAACCACAACAATAATAAAAAAACAAAGTAGAGGGAGAAGATAACATAAATATTAGTCATAAATTATATAAATATTATTAAGGATTAACACAAAGAGAGGCGGAGACAAACAAATAAAACACTAATCAGTAATTATTATCATCATTTATTAAATAATTAAGGGTATTATATAATGGAGCCTTCAAGAGGTTTGGGGTGTTTGCCCCCCTCCCTCCGCCACTTCCAACGTGGCTTCGCCCATTTGCATCAACCATTGGCACCTTGGTGCAATAACTCTGGTGCAAAGTCGTCTCACTAGTTACAACTTGCAATCCCTTTAAAGCCAATGTTTGTATGCACTACTTGTTGACTATCTTGTTGCTTTTATGTAAATTATTACATCACTGTGTTATATTTGTTGATTTAGATGTATTGTATGCATTCATAATTGCTGTGATTGGCAATAGAAAAAAATCACGTCAATGTGACATATATACTCCCTCCATTCCAAATTGAAATATCTAAGTACATAATAAAAACAATGTGTCTAGATAAGCCAGAATAACTTACAATTTGATATTGAGGGAGTATATAATACCCTTGCCCCGGAATGATATGTATATTTTGATTGGGGGAAAGTCAATCAAAATGTAATTTAATCGTTAATTTCTCTTACTATATATTGCCATTTACTAAACAATTAATATGTCTTAAAGGCACTTTCAATACAAACCTAAGGATACAAGTTTTATGTCCTAAACTCATATATAATTTAAACAATCGTTGGTCAAGATTTATAATTTTTGTTTTTTTTTCTGTACAAAAAATGATGATGCTGAAGACAACGTAAAGTCTGAGTTTCTATTTTGAACGTGGTAAAATTTTCAATTTTCTATTTCTACGTTTTTTTCTATAAAATCTGAACTGATTCTATGTATAATTCGTATAAATTTCTGCGTTTCAAACATTTCCTGAGGTTTGATTTGCTTCCGGCACTAGCAGGGTTACAATCACCACCCCAAACAACCCAAACCGACATCTGCTTCTCCACTTTTTGAGTTATTCTTGAAAGCACAAATATTCAAATTCATACAGTTCATATATGGAGACACAAAGTCAGAAAAATATGCTTGAAATATCTTCCTTATCGTCTCCTTGCCTCTCCCATCATCCCGAGGACCCAAAGCTGTGTCTTCGATGACAGTCACCTCACCAGTACCGTTCCTCTCCTCTTCTTACTCCTACACGTGCCATCTCCGCCGAGCGGGCACCGCCACCGCCACCGCTACGGCAGCGTCATCTGCTTCCGAAGACTTCGACTACCCTCTCGCCGACCCCTCCGTTCGATGGCCCCACCTCCGCTTCCCGCACCTCCCCACGCCGCGCTTCCCCGCCACCGTCACCGCGGCACCTCCGGTCGCCGTCAGACCATCCCAGGAAGTGGAGGACCCCGCGGCGACCTCCGCCTTCGCACCTTCACTCGTGGAGCCGCTGGACGCGCGTGCGCATCGCGGGAGGGTGAAGAAGCTGAGCAAGCTCGCGCTGCGGCGGGCGCAGGACTGGCGCGCGCGCGTGGCCGGGCTCGCGGACGCCGTCCTCGCGCTGCCTCCCGGGGCTCCCGTCGACGACGTGCTCGACGGTGCTCGGGCAACGCCAGACGAGGTCGCCTTTGTCGTGCGCGCCGTCGGGGAGAGCTCCTGGCGGCGCGCGCTGGATGCCTTCGAGTGGCTCGCCCGGAGCAGCGCCCCGGCTTCACGCGCCGTCGCAGTCGTTCTCGGCGTCCTCGGCCGCGCGCGCCAGGATTCGACCGCTGAGGAGGTCTTCCTCCGCTTCGCCGGAGAGGGCGCCACTGTTCAGGTGTTCAACGCCATGATGGGCGTTTATGCGCGCTCTGGCCGATTCGATGACGCACGGCAGCTGCTTGACACAATGCACGACCGGGGGATCGATCCTGACCTCGTCAGCTTCAATACTCTAATCAATGCCAGGTCCAAGGCTGGGTGTTTGGCCGCCGGCGTCGCCCTTGACCTCCTATCAGAAGTCCGACAATCTGGGCTAAGGCCCGATGTTATCACTTATAACACGCTCATCAGTGCTTGCTCACAGAGTTCTAATCTGGAAGATGCTGTGACGGTGTTTGAGGAGATGATAGCTTCAGAATGCCGACCGGATTTGTGGACATACAATGCAATGGTGTCGGTGCATGGCAGGTGTGGGAAGGCTGAGGAGGCTGAGCGGCTGTTTAGGGAGCTGGTGGAGAAGGGTTTTATGCCTGATGCGATCACTTACAATTCTCTTCTCTATGCTTTTGCAAAGGAAGGGAATGTTGAC